CCCACCCAGCAGATGGGAACGATGAGAGAGGGAGACCTAAATCTCTACATCTATTTATGTACTACGAGCGACTGCTGTGTTCTCCTGCCCCACAACTGCTGCGGGGCACTTAATGACTCTTTTCCCRGCTGGCTGCAGCTGTAGTTAATGTCATTTCCCGGCGATTATTTAGGCTAATTGCTGCCTCGTTAATGTGGGCATTAAGTTAGTTGTTTTAGTTTTAGTGCCGGAACTGGATGTGGCAGTCAATAAAACCTGCTCGTTTCTGCTTATCATTGATTTGACTTCTATAGAAAGCGATCTGTAGAAAAGGACCGTGTTTGATCCTTTGCTTTCTCACATATTATGTGGAGCTGGAAAAAAAAAATATTGAGGAAAACCAAGAAAAAAAAGCATTTGCTTTTAAGAGGCAGGAATTAGTATCACCAAAACTGAGCACGTGTTAGTTTTCTGTCAGTAACTAAAAATGAATTGCTTATGTTAGCTTCAGCTGGAATAATTGGAGGTTTTGTTGCTGCTGTGGAGGTCAGAAAACGTGCACTGTTGCCTGCTTTTTGTTCTATCTGAAAGTGCATGAATGTTCAAAAAGTAAACCAAACTAAAGATACCAAATATCTTCTTTGATTTAAAGCCTTCARATAATTTTGTCTACAACAGCTGAAGACAGTTGGCTGGAATTTTAATCGTTTAGTTTGTAATCACTGGGAATCGGCAGCCGTCTGTTTTATTACCTGTTAATTGTGAGCAAATTGTCAAATATRAAGTGTGAAAACATCAAAAATCCTTGTTAGCTGAAGTCAGAGGTCAAGTTTACTTTTAGCTTTTAGGAAGTAAAAATTCAGATTTGTGGTTGAAAAATGATCACCATGATTAATTAATTCTCAAGGCGTTATTAAAATATATTAGACAGAAGAGTATAGCAGTGGTTTGAACATTTGAGCTGCATAATGACAATGTTTTTTAAGATTTTGACCTTTTTAGCAGTAACCACCCTAAAGAAAAACTGTAGGTTTTGATACTGTAACTTGTAGGGGATACTAATAGGTTTATGGTCATTTTTAAACACTATCTGATGACGATTCATTTATTTTGTTAAAAAAAAGGGCACTTCTCACTTATAGTTCAGACGTTTTTCTGCAAGTCGCTCTCGCTCCAACTTCCCGTTCACCTGCATCTTGTTAAACACTCCAAAAACACAAACCGACAAATAAGAAACTCAATTTTACATTTAAACACATGACATTTCCAACTGTGTTGAATTTCTTTTTTATAAKGTGAGACAAGTAAGTTTAAGACTTTAAATAGAAATAAATGGGATTTTATAGGAACAAATGTGTGTAGTCCTAGAATTTAAACTGTTCAAGGTTGGTGTTTAACAGACATTTAAATACTGGTGTGGAAGATATAGTTTCATATTATAAGTTAAAACAGCAGATTTTATTGCTGTTTCATGCAATGAGAAATACCAAACCCTAAAACACGATCAACAGTTTCTGCCACAGATAAAATAGTAATAGCAACATAAAGTTTAGATCAAAGTTGTTAATAGTTTTGGTTTTCAGTTCAGCTTACTGATATTTCTTTTGTTTTATGTTGATAAAATAACAACAACAAAAAAAGCTGGAAAGTTTTAAAAAAAAACCTTTTGTTTGCCTTAATGTGCCCTTTCAGATCAAGTAGGACCTTAAATCCAGTTTAGTTTGGATTTGTTCTTTCTTCTAAATGTTATTGTAAAAATGTATTTAATATAATGTAAACAGGGAGAAATAGTGTTAAAGATTAGACTCATTTGGAGGCATACTTTATGGTAGTCTTCTTTTTTCGTCATTGTGATTGAAATGAGCAGTGAAAACACCGAAACAAAATATGAAGGTTTTTTTGTAGATATTTGAATAAAAAACCCATTTAGTGACATAATGTTTTATACCACTGTTGTAAAATGCTCCATCTTTTTAAAAAGAAAATAAATTATTCAGTGACTGTTTTTTTTCTTTCGAAGTCAGCTCATTTCAGTGCATAAGGATTTGATTCAACACATTTCTGCTATCCTTTCGCTTTTCTGTTTTTCTTTTACTTCTAAATATAATCAGAAGATAAAAGTACACGAGTTAGACGTATATACARGGGTCTGCCTGGAATACTGTTTATCTGTTGCTTTTCTCATGTCACATAAAAACACTGGGATTTGAGCGTGTTGATAAATGTGCAAATATYTATTTTCTTGTAATATCCGAAAAGTGCACAAACCTTGGGCAACATTTTCAGGCTGCATTAAAAGGATCCCTGATTAGTTGTAATGTTAGACTTTATTTGATAAACACATATTTTAACTGTAAAATAAAGACTGTGAAAATACTGTAGGC